TCCTGCAGCTTCGTTAAGATCTGGGCACAGAGAGCACTGTTCAGTGTCAGGGGGTCCCAGGAGGGGCCCACCCTCATCCTCAGGTCCCAGTAACCTTCCCACTCTCCTGGGGAGGACCAGTGCTGCCATAACATAGAGGAGTCCCAGCTCAGCTGCTTGCTCTGGAGAGGCCACCAATAAAGCTCTGGCCATGCAGGACAGGCAGAGCACATGCTGCCACAGCAGGCAGGCAGGCTCGATGGCTGTGCTCACCCACACCAACCTGTGCCCACCAGCTGCCAGCACTCAGGAAGCAGATGCTACCTCCTGAGGATCTGTGTGAAACCTCCTGCATCCCAGTTTCCATGGCTCAGGGACCAAAATACTTTTGTTGTTTCCTTTGTTCCAAAGTGAGATCCTGATATTGAAGTACCAGCACAGGTGTGAATTAAGAACCTCTCCACCTGTTCGCATCTTTATTCATTTGCTACAGGGATAATAGGATTTGTTACAAAATAAACCACGATATTCTTACCAAATGCAACTTTAAATAGTGAAAGCTCTAAAACAAGCTGCAGAAAGCTATGGCGAGAGCAAGTGACCCACTCAGGGCTGTGTCCACTGTTGGTCTTCCAGCAGGGTGATTGACCTCTGGAGAAGGCAGAGATGTCCTTCTCCTTGTACCAGAAGATAAGGTACCTTGTACCTTGTCCTTGTACCAGAAGATAAAAAGAGTCTCATTTCTAAGGAGAAACAAAGGGTGGCTGTTTTAACTCTCCTGGCATGTCCAGTCTAAGAGGTACTATGTGTTCCTCTGCCTAAAGCAACAACATGCTAGCTGGATGTCTTGTGCTCTGTGGCTCTCACAGTGCTCTCCTTCTTCACCTGCACTGCCTTACACCACATGGGCCAGGACACACCTTCCGACATTGCTCTCCTCTCTCAGCTCCTCAGCTGTCCTACAGAGATGGTTATGAACACCTCCAAGGACCAGAGGGGCAAGCAGCATTTGTCCAGTGCATGGAGGATGATGCAGACGCAGTTGTTGCAGTCTAACCTCTCCCTGTGGGAGGGAGATCTCTCAGCATCTCTCTGTCATCGCCTGGTTCTACATGAGGTGCTTACCAGCAGATCAAGGTACACAGTCCCTCACCATCAGTAGGACGCCCTGCGATGGAAAGTCATGACAGTCCAAACAATGCCACTAGTAATCAGATTCCTTGGCAGTTTGTAACATTTGTTGCATGAGCCAAAGGATACCAGACCTCTTCTATGACCAAAAAAATTGCCTGGATAGCCAAACAGGCCTATGCTGAGAATAAAGTTTCATTTTACTTGCCAGCAAGGAGTCACAGAAAACTGAAGTCATCCTTGGAGAGGCTGAGTAGCGTGTTCCCCTGGCCCTCAGCAGTGTGAGTGTGGTTGCCATCTCACAGATGGTTGCCTCATCCATGATTTCAAAGCCCCAGTGCTGGAGATCCTCTCCCAAAAATATTTCAGTGCTTTGTTTGCAAAAAAAATAATGTAAGTAAATAAATAAATCCTGACCTAATTCTCCCTTTATGAAATTGAAGCCCATAGTTTCTTGTTCTAAACACAGTAGAGAAAGTTAGAAGTTTATTCCTTTCCCCCTTTTTTTTCCACTCTAGTGCTTCAAGGCTCTCACTTCTCCTTTCAGTATTTTTTTCTCTGCATTGGATGACACCAATTCTTTCCATTTCAGACAAGCATTTAATTACATACAAATATTTTTTGATCCAGGAAGTCATGCATTTGATGCTGAAGCCAGGGGGCTGTCCTAATGTATGGCAGGAGAGAGGAAAGATACAGGACAAAACTCCTGTAAGATCCTTAGGCCTGTGTTGTCTCATTAGAGCTTAAGTTTCTTCCTTCTTTAATTAATCCAAAAAGCGTGAAGACAAGAAGTTGCGCTAAAAAGCAAGTGAACCACAGAAAGACACAGGTTTCAAGGCTCAGTGCTCCATGCTCTGACATGGAGACACTTGGAGAAAAATGGCCACAGGGATGAATGCCCATCACCTTGACTCTCCTCCACCGGGTCTCTTCATCTCCATTTGGTGCTGTCTCTAATTTTCTGCACAGAAAGCTGCCGTTTCGTAGCTGAGCGTTACGCGAGGCTGGACAGGAACGGTTCCTGCCTCTTGGAAACTTCCCTTTCCCGGTGAGTGGCTCCCGGGGCAGACGCTCAAGGCCTTTCTCTGGGGTGGGTTGGAGTCCGGGGCTGAGTGCGGGGCCTGGGCCGGGGGGGCAGTGGCTGCTGCTGCTGCTGCTGCTGGCGGGGCTGCTGCTGCGCACGACAGAAGGATCCCACAGTCAGGCGCATCCCAAGCAGGAGCTGGACAGCCCAGGAAAAGCGCTTGGCCCAAGGAAGAAAAAGCCAAACATCGGGTCAGCTTGCCAGGCCACTGCCGCTCTGGGGTGTTCCTGCTGCTCCAGGGAACAGCCAAAATCACCTTCACCTGCACAGCCCAGGCAAACTTGAAACTTTTTCCCTTCCTGGCTGAGGCCAAAGTACAAAGTACAAAGGCATCTGAGGCAGTTCTTCCCTCCCTGTGCTGGGGGAACTAACTCTGCCAGGGAGGCCCCAGTGCTCACCAATGGACACCTCCAGTCTGAACTGCCCTGTCCTCTTTTGGAAATGGTCTGCTGAAGGGAGAGAGAGATGTAACCCCAGGAAGCAATATCAAAGCACTCTGTCCTGCCACTGGGATAGGATTTCCAGGCATCTGGAAGCCAGAGGTCCATTTAGCCAGCGTGCATTTCCCCACACACAGAAGTAGTAAATTCATGCCAGATGAATTTTGATCACTGACTCATCATTTCTGAAATGTCAGTCAGCCTATCTTAGGGATTGAGGGATTTACCTGGGTACACTGAAATGGCTTTAAGGACCCACCAAACTGTTTCAAAAAGACTAGCTACTCTCTTATACTAGTTCTCATTTTCCCAGACTTCTTTTTCTTAATCCTTGCTGAATCCAGACCCAAGAATTGAGGGAATGCTATCACTGCACAGCTGAGGGAATACTGTTTCCCACTCAAACAAGAACAGCCATAATGTAAATAGCACTCACATGGCTACCCTCATGCCAGAGTTGTGCTCATGAGCCATGACAAATCTTCTGAAATGACATCCTATGGCTGCACTGTGGTGAGTTCTCCCAGCAAACAGGTAAAACACTTGCCTGTTCTTCACGGTTGTAACTTTGGGGGCAGCAGGAGGGCCATGGCAAGTTACCCACATCCAGGTGCAATGAGGTTGCGCACCCCTTGGCCAAGGGACTGGTTATGCTCACCTTTGTTGTCAGCCTGGCCAGTGACACCTTTGAGGTACCAGCTGAGATTTCCTTCAGGCATTGTCCTCTTTATCTTGACAAAGACTTTTGTGGTGTACAAAGGAGCTTTTACTCCCATTTTGTAACTGACTCACACAAAGTAGCTGTTATTTGAGACCACAGGAAGCCTGACATGGTGTGTGGGGGCAGAACTCGGAAACAAGCCTTTAAACAAGCCCTGCCAGAGTCACCTCCCTCCTGCTTTAGCCTCCCCTTCTAGGTAGGCCAGACAACTCTTCTTCAGTGGCATCTCAGTATCTTTTATCCACCCAAACTAGCAGCAATGCCCAGATTGTAACTCAGAGCAACCTCTCTGTTAAGACTCAGAACCCACTCTCAGAAAAGACTCTGGCAGAGTATTTCCCACGGTCTTAAAGAGACACAGACTTTGGAAAACAGATGAAATCTCTGCCTACTCTGAAAACCTCAACTCTTTAAAGTGCCCCAAGTTGGAACTCCAGTGTTGATAGGCCCCCAAGACATTGTTCTGGAGAGAGGACAAGTTCTGTGAGATGCCTGAGGAAACTCACAGAAAAGCTGAGCCCTTCTTGCCTCTTCCCGCAACCTACAATGTTTCCAAAAGTGACTAATGATTTCAAAGATCCTAGTTTTACACCATATAATTAATCAAAAACATCTGCTGATGGGACATGTATATTTTAGCCCCACAGATGCTCATGACCAGTGGCCTTGGCCAAACTTTAGAGGAGCAATTATTGCCCATGAATAAACAAAAGAGCTTGAGAACAGTAAGTCTTCGTTTCCAAACATATATCAGAAACCAAGACTGGCAATGCCAGCCAATCTGAGATTCACCATATGCCAAAACCAGGTTATTGTGAAGGAACACTCCAAGGCAGAGAGCAGGGCTGCTGTCAGCAGG